TGAATGGTAACTTGAAGACAAGAACTTTCATTTTCAACTGTCTATCTGATAACAAAATAGATGGCTACTGAGTGACTAAGGGATGGGCAGTACATGCACCTTAGACAGAGGACAAGACCACTCATGCTGTTGACTGTGGGTAACAGAAAATACGGGACACTGAATCATGAACTGGGGGAGACTACTGTATTTATAGTGGAGCGCTTTTGCAGAAAATGTCTACCAACCCCCGCCTATAGGATATACTAACAGGATACTCTGAGTTCTGTTTTCTTTTATAAATAAATTTTCAAGGTTTTAGGGTGAAGGATTGGTCCAAATGTGCTCCCTCAAAAAACACATGTAATAAACTCATTCTCCAAGGTGGGGCCCATTGAAAGATGTTTAGGTTCTGAAGGCTTATATGTAAATTTTGAACAAGTTTGAAGCTACACAGTCCCTTGTATTCTTTATTGCCCTATGATGCCTTCCACCACATTCCAGCAAAGAAAAACACCCTGGCCAGATAGGAGTGTTTTTACCCTCCCCTTATAATAAACAAATCTGTCCTTTATCCATTACCCACTCTTACAATGGCACAAAGTGTACTGACACACAGGTACACCAGTATTTTAATTAGTTAAGATAGTTTAGTAGAATAATCTGTATCGAATAGGGCCACTTTTTACATCTGTCCAACTACCTCATTACAAAGTACCAGGAGAATGGCACCGTAGAAGCATGCACACTTAGGAAGCTTGTATAGCTCACTTTCCAGAGTCCTATCTATCTTAAGCGTTCACTTACCTCCAAAATAAATAGGTCAGTAGCTCTGGGGTACATCCTATCTTCTCATTCTACACTTTCATTCTGACTATTCATGAAACCCTTCTGGTGAACAATTCCAACCAAAGAATGAAGACTGTGAAAAACAATTCCTATCCCAGAGAAAATCCCTGGGCTCTCTCTCCAGAGATTCCCAGAGCAGTTAGTCTTTTGGAAAAGCAAAACCAATCATGGCTCTCCCTTCTACAGTGGTTCCGTATAGTAATGTCTTCAAATCCCTCAACTGTTAGTCACAGCCTTTATAACTTGGTCATGGTTCGCATTATGTTTTAGCCTCAGCTCCTTTTTATCAAATGCTTTGGCTGAATGGGAATAAATTACCCCATTGGTATCAAGTACTGGCTCACAGTGTTTCTCCAATCTGACTCCAACCCTTTCTTGGTGATAACACCTTATTAAAGTATGAATTATAACTGTCTGTTTACTTATCTGTACGGCCTATGAGACTAAGATCCTTGAAACCAGAGACCACATCTTCACCACACCATACTGTATTAGTTACTTTTTGCTGCTGTGTTTAAAATCAATTTATGGAAGAAAGAGTTTGTTTTGGCTTATGGTTCGAGACAGGTTGTAAGTAATGGCGAGGAAGTCATGGCAGCTGGAAGCCAGAGCTGACTGATCATGTTACCTGCACACAGAAATGAATCACAGAAAGAAAACTGGAGCTGTGGTTGGTTACGAACCCCCAAAGCTTGCCCAAAGTGACACGCTGTTTCCAACAAAGCCAAACCTCCTAAAGGTTCCGTAACATCCCCAAACAGCATCACCAAGAGGGGACCACATGGTCAAATGCCTTAACTGCTCACTCAAACCACTACACTTTCGCTACCACATCTATGTAGCTTTTTGCCTTTGCTCAAAAGTTTTTTTTCCTTTAAATGACTGCTGAAAACAGTTTTTGTGGAGAAAGGCAGTAACTGATTTTCTCATTCTGCAACGGGTAGCCTTTGACTATGCAGTCAAGCATTTAGATTGAGATTGCAATGAAGGAAATTTCATAATCACATCACGAGCCTATATGACTAATGTCAGGCCTTTGTTAACCTATTTCTTTTTACCCGAATGGAGACAGTAAAAGGCCCCACTCCGTATGGTAGCTATGAAGACTCAATGGCCATAGGAAAAGTACCAAGGACAAGGCCATCGATGAGCACATAAAACATCTCAATACCGTGCATGATTAAAGCTGGGTTCACAGACTTCGGAAAAACAAATGTAAATCTCAACTCATTTTCTGATCTAAGGTCAGAACTTCAGGTCTAAGTGGAGAAAAATAGGGATGTTCAGTGGAGGTCCCAAAGTCATAGAAAGTAAAACTCAAAACAGAAATCAAGTGGCCCAAGAAGGTAGAAGTTCCAAAAGAAAACACCAAGATGTGGTTACTGAATAAGGAAGTACCAAACTTCCATAAGCAGACAGCATTAGCCTTGCAATGAACACAAGGCACAATTTTTGCTGAATTTTGTAAATATATATGCGTATCCCACCTGCTGCTAACAGTAACCACATCCGACAAATATTCAAGAGCATGGTATCACATTCAAGAGTCAGCCAGGAGTGGCCATAGAAGAGGCAGTGCTGGGACAACTGGTTGTCACATACATAGGGGAGTATGACTTGGGGAGGTGGCGGTAAATCTGATGGGAGGTTTACAGACTCCAGTCTTCCCTAGCCACCAGCCTTGCAGTGAAGTCTCTCGGGCCGCTACTGCTCAGCCTTGTCCTTCTGACAGTAAAGAACAAAGGGCTGGACAGGACAGCCTGAGGGAGGCAAGCAACTACGCCGGAAGCAGGGTGCCGGGTTGACCTACAGCGGCAGCTTCAGCAGCACCAAAGAGTCAGTAAGCAACGGCCTCCCCTCTTACCTTGCTGCGACCCTGGGAGGAGACGCGCTGCTGGGAGCTGGGGGCCGGGAAAGCCTGGGAAGGGACGTTCAGCATCCTTGGCCCGCTACCCGGGCCGCGTACGGGCTCCGCCACCAGACAGGCTCGCCTGGCGGGACCCCAGCAGCCACCACCGCCTGCTCCGGCTCCGCGGCCGGGCAGAGGCCAAGCCCCCGACCCACTTCCGGGGTCGCCAAGGGTCAGGCGCGCCATGACGTAGCACGCTCACGGGAGGCGGGGTGGGGGCGGAGTCAGAGGGAAGGAGCCCGCGCTGGGGGTGGAGGAGGGGGATGGGATTTGCGGTAGAAGCGCATGCTCAGTTAGTCTCTGATCCGAAACTTCAGCACCACAGGGAAATGACAGCTTCCTGCTGAAAGATTAGTGGGTGAAGCTGTTCCTTAACCCTGGTGCTGATCGAGTTCGAGGGTATTTTCTTGCAGAGCCCTGGTCACCCAGAACATCAGCTCCTATCCCTTGATAAACACCACCATCAAGCTGCCCGAGATGTGGAAGAAATAGCACTATCAAAACTTTCAGATGGCTGAGTATTTCTCTACTGTAAGGTCGAGAAAAACAGGACCTCACAACTTCATGAGCTAAGAAGCCAAATGCAAGGAGCCTCTGCTGTGGGTTAAGAAGACAGCGTCACCTTTCCACATGCCCTGTCTGGAAAACAACTAAAAGATGTTTCCAGCATCCTGCTTTATCCACACACTCACACATTCCTCCTCCTCCCATAACGTTTCACTTTCCTTGAAATTTCCAAGGAGTTCACCCCTAAATGGAGTGATTTGGTTTTGGTGTCGTCCTTACACTTAATGGTTTGTGTAAGTTACTTTTAGTTTCTTAAAGGAACATTTACCTAGCTGCATGGGCTTAGGTTTCTGTAGGCATAAATGGCCGTATCTAAACTACACCACACATATGATTACTAATAGGTATCTAAGGAAAGACAAGACAGGGCACCTTATACTATCCTAATTTGTTAACAAGAGAAGCATCTTTTGCATGTATCTGGGTGAATACACAGATCCATAGAGTAGAATCCAACAGAAAGAGAACATTTTCCCAAAGAGCAGTTCTGAATAATGCTATCCATTCTCTGTTGGGTACTATTTTTTTCCTGACTCTGGACACATTATTTATTTGAATTATGCAGTCTCTAGAGTTCCTGGCAGTCAAAGTTATGATGATATGTTTTACTATTATAAGGGAAAGTCTGTGGATATGTTTAGTCATTCAAGCAAGAGGCATTTCTTAGCTAGCTAATTACCTCTCATCTCCACCTTACCAATTTTTATTCTGGAATATTGCAGGAAAATATTTTAAAGATATTGCCAGGCAAGCATCAAGCTTGAGCTTTTCTGCCTCATCCTCACAGGTTGCTCAGATTATAAGTTAATAAAAAATACGCCTACTTTTAGTTGAACTGTTAATACGATGTTTATGTATGAACTAAAAGGACATCGTGATTATAGTTTGTATGTCACCTTAACCATGAAAATTGCCCATTTTGTCTCATTAAATGATAGGGTAAGCTTTCTTATGTGATGGCTGTGTAAGAAAAACTAGAGAACTGATTTTACTTTCCATAAGAAAATATTTATATCAGAATATTGTGAGCAGGTAAACTAGAACAAAAGGAAAACTGATAATGTTAAAGTTCATGTCTGCCAAATCTCAGCTTTACCTAGGACAAGAAAAAATACTTTCATGCTCTGAATTTTTTAAACTCCATACAAATCATTCCAATGTAAACAATTTGTTTTAATTGTAGGAATCCCTCAATATGTACAGTAGGTATTGAACACCAGATCAAGGACAAAAGGAGAGTATTAGATGGAGAGTCATACTATTCACTGATCAATTGTACTACTTAAAAATTAAGAGACATAAGAATGTTTTCCTTTCTCAATTATAGATAACTTATTGAAGCATTTTCACCATCATAGAGCAAACATATAGTAATATATATGAGACTCACAGCATGATGCAATCTTCTACACTAACTACCAAGATTACATCATCGGTAACTACAACATTCAAATGAGATCAATAGCAAACAGCATACAGTGCAAGAGCCAGTCTTCGAAGACCAAACAAACAAACAAATACTATTGTTCTTTGAAAAATTATGACTAAAGATAAACTTGCAATTTAATAAAGAGACCAAAGTATCCTTTATGAACCACAGATGTTTATAACACAAGCAGAACATTTGTACATGATGCCTATCTTAAATCCCAACTTTTAATTCTAGTGTATGGACAAAAAAAGCCAAAACACTATACTGATTACAAAATTTTTATTAACAATTTATACAAATAAATTAGTTTTAAAACTTATGATACATTTATACAAAAAAATTCAAATCCTACGCAACTCAGTTGTCACCAGAAGTAACTAATTAGATTGACTTTCACAGGCCAACCCCTCAATTTCATCTTCACTCTCAGAATCTTCATAAAATGAAATTGTAGCTTGAACTGGGAAATTTTTCAGAAGAATTTCTGCTTCTTGATATAAGTAATCATAACACTTGGACTTGGGCCAGAACAGTCTGAAAGAAGCAGAAGACATACCAACCTTATGTTTTTGCATCCAGGATCCTAATAGCCACAAAGTGATCAATTTCTACAAGATCTCTATGCCTAGGAATTTGTTTACACATCTTAGAGACGGCCTTGAGATGGAGAGTTGAAAACAGCTACCATCACAGCTTTCATAGAGTCTGCTTGCCAAAGTAAAAATAAACGGTTGATTCTTTCACATATTTATCTGAGCATAGGTTAGATTTAAAAACTGGCTACAGCCTCTAGAAGTAGAAGATCAATGCTTATCTTACTTTTCAAGTTATGTGTATATTTATTCTACAAAATGTAGAAGAATAATTTTCTAAAGTTTTTAGAAGGCAAATACACCCCAGCACTACATCAAACACATGGGCATGGGTGATAGCCAGCTTTACAAGGAATGCAGTACCTTGGACCCTGAACCCATTTTCCAGCAAAAACTCTAGATACAGCTTTTTGCTATAGATACAGCTAATATACTTGATCAGACATGTACAAGAACTGTTTTCAAAAGCCTGTTTGTGCCTCCACACTTACTCGGTGGAAAATCTGCCCCAACACCAGTCTTCATTCCCAATTCCTCTTCTCTCCCATCCAATCAAATCTGGGAACACTATATTAATGTATCAATAATTATGTAAGTTTTATACAATTAATTTGCAGGTAAGCGTCATTACCTCAGAATTTTCAAAAGATTGACCACTATTAATCTGGCCTAGTGGTCCACTTCTAGTTTTCATCCAAAGAAAAGAAATAGACAGGGTTGAGCAGACAACTCTTGTGAAGTCATTTTAGTGTAGAGCAAAGAACTCCATCTACATATAATTGAGTGTATCTAACCAAGGAAAGATTATATTTTGTCTAATGTGCTCAATTCTAAAAGAAGGGAAGCTAGGCAACAGTGTGTATGTATATATATATTTTTTTCTAGCATGGCACATTATAATCCAGATGCTTAACCAAGTAGCATTTATGCATCTAATAAATGTGGTAGGGAGGTCTTGTTCCAACATAACTCACCAGTCAAAAGTGAGTAAATCAAGGACCCTATCCTCAAAGAACTGACCACTGAATAAAAAGCATGAGATGCACAACACAGAGATTAATAAAAATTAAATAAGAAAACTACAATTAATTTTTCAGCAAAGATAAAGAATTGCTTACAATACACCAATATATGTTCTAATATGTAACTGAAATTGCCAACCCCACACCCCCAAAAATGGTCAGCTGGTATCATCACACTCTGGTCAGAATTTCTCTGTGGACAGTTCTTCCAGGGATGCCATCCTTTTTTGAGTTCCCCTCTTCTGATTTTTCTATCACCTCCGTAGCCCAACCTTACTCCATGTTCTAGGTGGAGGCTGCCTTTCTCTTTGAGAATGATCACCTCTTCCTTCTGCACATCTTTGGGATGACCTCACCCCCTCCCATGACCTCACCCAGCCTTTCACCTGTGCTTGCAGGGAAGGTTTTCAGGCAGGCTCCTGACATGTCCATGACTCCCTCTCTCTAATTACTCTGCTTGGATACCCAAAGGCACACGCAATACAACAAATAAAAATCCAGACTGGCTTCCTCATTCCCCACACCTGCATTGTCATAGGATGGCACTCACCTGGTCATCAGCCACAAATGTGGGAGGCATTCTGGCTGTTTAGCTCTTCTCCACCTCCCTTCCCAGTGCAGTATAAAGCCCAGCTTTGCCGCCTAAGTCCTCCTACATCTCCATAAGCCCCACTTCCGTTTCTGAAGGCGTAGAAAGGCTTTCCTTCATTTCTTACTTATAGCTACTACCAACATCACTTTAAAGTCTTTATTCCAGTCCCTTAATGATTTTCCTGAAACATCTATCTAATTACACCATTCTCTGGGTAAAACCAATAGCCATTGATACCTCCTACAGAGTAAAGTCCATGGTCTATGGACACAACTCTAAAGGTTCTGGCCTTTTACTACCTGGCTGTCACTATTGCAGCTACATACAGCCAAAACCCTGGTCTTTGGAGTTCCAGCAGGAGCCATCCTGTTGAAATATCCTGTCTCTCTTTTTCAATGTCATTTCTTTTGATCTGAACGTCCCCTTATCTGATTCTTGTAGACTCAACATAGTAACCATAACTAATTTATAACACACCCTCTGTGAACTGTCCCCAAACCCTCAACGATTACACATTTAGGGCCCTAAACTCACTTCAAAAGTGACCAAAGGAAGGCTAGAGGGATGGTTTAGTGGTTAAGACACTGAGTGTTCTTCCAGAGGACCTGAGTTCAGGTCTCAGTACCCACATGGCAACTTAAAACCCTCTGCAACTCCAGTTCCAAGGGATCCTACTCCCTCTTCTGGCCTCTGAGGGCACCAGGCATACACATGGTTCACATATATACACGCAGGCAAAATAATAAGACACTTAAAAATAAAAGCTTAAAAAGAATCTGACCACAGTAAATACTCCAACACTTGTCATTTGCTGTCCCTCAATTACTTTTAGCATATGTAGGTAACCAACACATATCAAACACACAGTCAAAGGCCAGGCTTTCTTTAACACAGGTCTTCTTTTAAAAGTCCCGAGAACACAGCACGATTATAAACATTTCATCTCAAATAAAAGGGAAAAAGCTACAAAGAATCTTACAGGATGGCCGACTTTTTATGGCAAAGAAATAAAGCAAACAAAAACAGCAAACAGCTAGACCAGTCTTGGGTCACTTTTGACCCCTTTTAGTTTGCAAGAAAGTAATACATACACTGTGCATGCTGTGAAGGCAGTTTCACACTGTCCTTTAAAAATAAAAAAAATTAAAATAAAAATTCAAAACAACTTTTCCGGCACAGGCTATCTCCCATCCTTTCACCCAGAGCCTCCTTCAGGGCAGGTAAGTTCACCGCCACTGAACTACATCCCCAGCTCCAGCCCTCGCTTCTCTAATCAGTCTGTTTTCTCTCTTGTAGCCGGTTCTTCCGGCATTTGCTCGCCGTGCACCAGCTGACAGTCCTTTTATGTAATAAATCCTGTATTTTCCCATTCCGTGAGTAACAGAGTAACAGAATCCTCAGAATGGGAACACAGAGTAACTGAGGGTAAATTTTCCAAGAGAGAAAAAAATGCAGAGCCAGCTACCGAACTAGGCTGTATGACCATGTCCCCATATCCTCCCTAGGGCTGGAGTTGCAGACCTTCAGTAAGGCTGGTGACTCACCTGACAGGATGTTTGTACTGCGAAAGCTTCCCTGAGGCTTCAGTCACTCCAGGGCCAGTGGGCAACTAGTAGGAAAGGAATAATTGTAGTCACCATGCATCTCTTTGAAGAAACTGGGAAGGTGTATGTCACCCAGTGTCTCTGACTCAGGTGGGGACTGTGACCCTGGGCCTCCTCTCAAACCAGTTCTTCATCTGCAAGTGGCTGCATCACTGAGAGAATTTCCCAGCCTGCCTTCATACTCACAGGGCCTGGGCAGGCACACTGTTAAGCAGTTGGCAGATTGGGAGCTCAGGTCACCCTGGGCCTTAAGTCCTCAGGCCTAGGTTGGGGGAAGGGAGTGGAGATGCTCTGCAGCCTGAACCACTGCGGACCACGCTGTCGCTGTCACTTACCGCCTCTGCAGCATGATGCTCCGCCCGCTCCTCTCTCTCGCCAGAGGTTCTAAGCCAAGGTCTCCAGAAGTCCTCCGACCTGCAGGATGGCAATCGCGCAAGCCGCGCATAAAGAACGTGAGCCCGGCCACGGCTCACAACTAGGACCGAGCACGGTCACTGGGCACGGGCAAGGGCAGCGGGCACAGGGCGAGGGCTGAGGTGGAGGATGCGTGGGGCCAGGCGGTCCTCTGGCTCCGAGGGCAGTGGGCATGGGACAAGGGTGGAGAGTGTGCGGGGATGGATCTGGCCTGATAGGTACCCGGGATGCTCAGGCGGCGGTAGCGGGCAGAGGCTGCGCGGTGGTGGGCACCCTGGGCTGTGCGCGCGCTCAGCGCTCTCCGCCGGGTCCATGGCAGCGGGACAGCTTCAGTGTCGCAGCCAGCCTTTATCTAGTCCTCGCGGCCCGCTGCGCTCTCAGACCTTCGCACCCCGGCTGCCCTCGCTCCACATAAACAAAACGGCAACGCGTGAAAGCGCCGCGGGCCGAGTGCTGGTGTGAACGCGTGCACATCCCAAATGGCCCAGGAACGGGCTGCAAGAGCCAGTGTTAATAACCCCCCTGACACACGGCCTGGGAGAAAAACAGCATGTGCCCGAGTAGCCAATTTCCATGTGAAGAGGTTAGGAGGGGATGGAATTAAGCGATTCTACACGTTTTGTGTATTTCTGCAAAAATGCCCCAGGGCTGGTAATTGGCTGACTCTGGCTGGGCTCTTTGGCCTTCAGCAAATGCAGCTGGCTTTCAGCAGCCTGTGTTCAAAAAATTGGATATGGAGTAAGAAGAAAAAAAGAATAGCCTTTGTTTTTCCCCTCTGGAACAACAACAACAACACACACACACAAACCCCAAGTGTCTCTGTATGTGGAAATATGGATCAATAATAAATGTACTTTTAAAAAACTGTATTAATACGTTCTGTCCCAAATCGGCCTGTTATTTGACGGGGACAGAAACTCTTCAGCTACAAGAGATGAATGTGAAGATCCGATTGGTAAGCCATGCAGGGCAGTCAGTTGTCATGTGGTCCCAGTGCCTCCCCACATCCTCATGGCTTTCTCCCAAACTCTCGTCTCTCCTCCTCCAGCAAGCCCTGAGTGTATCATCTCGACACCACTGCCTTCACTTGGTACTTTGTCAGTGCATAGTTACACAATCCTTTTGTAGTTTGGGAGAGATGTAGATGATAATGGATCGTGGAAGGACAGGATATGAAACAAATCACTTATTCTTCCTGTACTAGTTCTTGGGAATTACCCTTCCTTATCTTTAGAGGCTCATTGATCCTGGCTTTAAAAAATGTTCTGTTTCAAAGTAAATATAATGGGTAAATGTTACAACTTCTTGCCAAGGCATTTTAAGTAATGAAATTGAATTTCCTCAAGCACTGCTGATTAAAAACCTTGATGTGACTTGTAGTACTACTTCCATTCACCTGGTCACTTCATAAGAAAATAATCAGTTTAATTATTGCTTAGGAGCTGCAATAATGCAACTACTAGGAGGATGAGGTACCGTTTTCTTCGGTAATGAGATCTACCTATCAGAGACGATAGATGTCTACTGCTTGACTCAATGGCTTGGAGCAACAACGCTTATTAAATGCTTGCTTGTGTGTCTGGCACACAGTAAGCCCTCCCTTGACAGATGACAAAAATGATTAAAAAATATTATGACCTGCTGGCAAGATATCTCAGCAGGTTAAGATGCTTGCTGACAGGTTCAATAACCTGAGTTCGACCCCCAGAGCCTGCACAGTAAAAGGAAAAAATTGATTCCCACAAATTGTCCTCTGATCCCACACAGCAGTGGCATGAGAACCCACTACTTCCACAGCCACACACACACACACACACACACACACACACACACACACACACACACTACATAAATGAATGTAATACAAATATAATAATAGTCTTACATATGTGACCTATGTGACCTATTTAATGAAGGGATCCATTGCAGTTGAATAAATATCTTTGATGCATGTGAGATGTGTTAAACATGTTTTTTTTTTTTTTACATATGATGACTTAAATGTTCTCTCCTTATTCAGGAAGAGAATCCATGGTCATTACAATGGCTGCAAAAACAATGATTTTTTAAAGAACATATTTAATTTCTAAAGAGCATTTTACATTTAGAAATGAAGGTGAAGGGGACTTAGTGTGTCTTTTAGGTACAATTAGGAGAGCCTGCTTAGAGCAAATGAAACCTAAGTGGGATTTCTAGAAGGATCAGTTTAAGAATATTGTTGCCTGTGTGTGGAGTAGCTGGGTAAGAGGGGAAGGGATGAGGATTGCTGATGATGTGGTTAAAGAGACAGACAGGGCAGTCTTGGGCTGTTAGGAATCTTGTAGGCTGTGCTCAGACATTCTGACTTTATTCTGTAAGTCCTGGTTGAAGACTATAAGCAGGAGAGTGGAATGCTGGTGGTGTTGGCTCGGGCAAGGACGAGATCACTGCAGACCCAGAGCAGAAGAGATACTTCCATGTTTCTGCTTTTAAAATGGCCCAGAGAGGAAAAAAACCAAATTTGATACAGGTTCTTCAATCAGTCAGCATAGACTGGTCATATGGTAGTAATAAATAATTACAAAATTTCACAAGCTTAATGTAGCAGGGGCGAATTTCTCAGTTATCCTGTATACAACCTGTTTTGTCTAGTAGAAGGCTGATTTTTAAGCTTCTTGTCTCTTGGAGACAAGCTGAGGAAGCTTGATATCACTGGAATTCTGCCAGTTATTTTAACAGGAAGACACAAGGAAAATTGTGTGCCTAAACTGACACATAGACCCACCCCCCCCCAAACACTTCCCTGTCCTAAACTAGCAAGATGACACATTGATCTCAAAGGGAAATGCATTTCTACCATGTTCCCACAAAGAAGAGAAACAGAAAAAAAAAAGTATATGGAGAACATTTCTCCCTGCTGCTACTGAATGGATATTCATTTCACTGCCCTTCCTGTGCATGAAACACAGTCACACTAGGGACAAGAATGCAGACGGACCTGGTGGCTTCTGAGTAGTCCTGATGAGTACAGATGAAGATACCCAGGAAGCAAACAGAGTTATGAGTGCTGGGATGGAGCAGAGAACTTAAGACTAAAGACTTAAATGTGGGAACATCAACAAAAGGTGATCAACAACAGGAATTGCCTGGTTTCCTAAGGAAATGTTGTAGCTTGTGAGAGCAAACCAAGGTCAGAGCTCTGGAGGGTGACGTTCCTTAGATGACCCAGCATCAACAGAATCACTGAAGAGGAATGGTGGCAATAAAAATTGAGTCAAGGTTCAGGTGACATTTGAAGATGAGGTAAAGGACTTCCAACAAGAAAGAAGAAAGCCAAACAAAATAATGACAGATATTCATTAGATTTGGACACTAAAGGATTCTTTATGACTTTAGCAACATTGCTTGAATGCATAGGGACAGAAGCTTTTTCCTGCAAGTTCATTTATAGACTCAAGCTAAAGAAATGAAGAATGTTGAGAGTACCCTCTTGAGAAGAAAATAAAGAAGGGGAATGCAGATTAGCAGAGGAGGGTCCTCAAGACAGGGGGGACTGAGTGATGGCTGTGATCCCCAAAGAGGAAAGAAGAAATGAGCTCAATAACTCTGGAGGAAGATCCTAATGAGGTTGGAAATTAGTGTTGGTAGCAATCAAATAGCTGAGAAGTTGACAGTCAAGGTGAATAGATCTTGCATGGAGAAGGGAGGAGAGTATGGTAATTACATACATAAACCCGAGAACATTGCATCCCAGAAGGGAAAGAGAGAGCCAGTTAATAAGAATTAGCAAGAATAGTTCTTGGCCAAGTTCATGTTAAACTTAGAAGTACAAATATAGATTACTAGAACTACGAAAGTTCCAAACCTTCCATTTCTACACTGGTTTCATTAAACCATCTATTTGTGTGAGGCTTGAAGCCAAGTCCCTCATGGCACCAGGGACAAAATACTATTTTCTTTTCTATTTATGAAGTGTTTCTTTTTTTTCTGCACAGCTTATCATTTTCATCAAAGATAGGCTCACATAGATAAATCATGAAGAGATTGTTAATTTTAACCTGTTCCAGAAGGCAAGAACACTTGTGTACTTTTCAAGAACATCATATTTACTATTTTAGAATGGATGCACATACTTCTTAAGCTTGATTCATCATGGGAATATAAAGTCTTATAAAATAGCCACACAGAGGACTGCTGAGATGCTCATGGAAAGTCTGCGTTCAGGGGCTTCAATCCCTGAGACTCACATGGTGGAAGTAGAGAACCTACTCTGCAAGCAAGTTGTCCTCTGACCTCCACAATGCGCACATACATGCATGCATGTGCATGCACACGCATACACAAATAATTAAAGTGTAATAAAATTTCAAACATATGATAAAATGCAGATTGATAGATAATACGACCTATAGTCTAACATATACATGTTAGAGGTTAAGTTTTAGAATTCCATGTTGAGCACCACGAGCGCATTTGCAGTACATGCACTCCATAACATATTAAGCGTGCTCTTCGAAACACACCCATGAGCTAGAGATCAACCTCCATAATCTATTAGGACTGGATATTAAAAACTTCATTTAGTCAAGCATTTATTGAACACACACTATTGGGTGTTCCTTAACTACATGTACAGTATTCACAAAGCTGTAGAGAAGAGATGAGTAGGGATGGCCCTCTGATTCCCAGTGAAGCCGGCTCTATCTGGGGGCACCCGGTGGCAACAGCAGCAGTCATGGTGATGTACCATTCCTTCACACATCTGTTGCAGCTCCATTTCTTTCTTTATTTTATTCTTTGTGTCTTTCACATCATGCCTCCTGATCCCACCCGTCTCCCTCATCCCAAATTTAGGCTCCGGTCATGAACAAAAAAGCTCACAGCAGCCATACTTCAGGAAGCTATATGTTTCACAGACATCCAAGCCATCAAGCTTTATGTTCTACTAGAGAAAAATTATAAATTTACTTTGCATATGCTTGCTTAGCATGTTGTCTTATTCGTTTCTTTATTTTTACACAAGACTGATATGAGAAAGGGAGTTCATCCGAGAGGCAAAGAGCTAGGTGATGGTCCCCAAGGAGAAAGCCAGGAAGAAGCAAAACCACATTTTAAACAAATTGAGTAGCAACAGCGTCTGAAAAACACTAACAAAAAGATAAAATCAGAATGTGAACTACCCACCCACTTTGAATGTGGCCTTCTGTGGCACACTTCCCCAGGGACAGGATGACCTCACAGGGTATGGCTTATTTCCCACTGCAAGGAGATATGTGAAGAATGGGCATCGCCACGACTCACTGTTGTTGCCGCCACCGTGTGCCCCCCCCCCAGATAACGCTGGCTTCGCTAGTAATCAGAGGGCACTTTGTACTCATCTCTTCTTCATGGTTTTATGAAGACTGTACAGGTAAGGAAGGCTGTACATCTGTCTAAGAAAGTAGAATTTTTTTTCGAGACAGGGTTTCTATGTATTATTGCTTTGGAGCCTGTCCTGGACCAGGCTGGCTTTGAAGTCACAGAGATCCGCCTGCCTCTGCCTCCCAAGTGCTAGGATTAAAGGTGTGTGCCACCAATGCCCAGCTGAAAGTAGACTTTTTTGTTTAAACATTGCACATATAAAATATGTGCCCTGACAGGAAAATTACCCATTCCCATCTGAATACCAATTGG